GGTTGTGAGAGGCTTTCATCTTTCTCTTTCTCTCTCTCACTTTCTTCTATCCCTTGATCATATTTAGGGGCTCTTTATAGGTTCAATCTTGCAACTCCACTTTCCAAATCGTCTGGGTACCAAGGCTTCAAGCTTGGTGCTTTTCCTTGTCTCCGGTAATACCTTTTAAGAGAGGTTACACCGGGAGGGTGCCCAATTTTCTTTGGGTTGTCTCTTTACTTCTTTTACTTCATCTTTTTCTTCTCCCTACTTCTAAAAACAAGTTTTTATCAACTCATTCTTATTCTCTTCTTTCTTCTTTTTCTCACTTATTCCCCCTATTATTTTACCCCCAAAACTAGAGCCATTTACCCATAAAAAGCACACCAAAGTGGAGTACATTATACTGGGATTTCATTAGCAATTTTTCAGTAAGTGTTAAGGTGAGGTATTGAGTTTAGAGAGGGGGCCAAATTCAAACTGCGTTGCTGGACAGTTGGAGTGCTTTCATTCATTGATATAAGAGGGTCATAGCTCGGGCTTATCCCACGAACTCAAACTGTGGTGGGGTAGGTGCTCGAATCCATCTATTAAAATTTTCTCATGGTTGGACATACCTATCCGAACATGACACACAAGCTGCACACGCGCTCATGAGGTCAGGCGGTTGTTCGAGAGCGGGTTAATCGAACCCAAGTTTTTGAGGGAGCCTGAGCGACGTAGATCCAAGCTTGGCCAAGTGCGGTCTAAGTGGTAGGGGGAAGGGGGGAGGTGCCTCAAAGTAGTCAGGTAATGGGCAAGTGCCTAGTCGTGTGCGCCTTGAGTGCGCCTTGAGTTGGGGATCCGATCAAAGGCACAATCTAGGTGAAGAGACGAGGTGCCCCAGAGAGGTCACGTGATAAGGGTGAGCATGAGGTACAGACTGTGCGAAGTGGAGTGCGCTTGAAGTCAAGGGTGACCCGCCAAGAAGCGCACTTGAGGCGGTGGCCCTCATTTCTTTTTACTACAAAAATGTAAAGAAGAGGTGTAGGCAAGCAAATGGAACCAACCTAGACTATCAGAAAAAAGGATGAAAATTTTTGGGGTCACTGGGTGCCAACGAGGGTACTGACAGAGTCAACGCTAGCAGTGGTTTAGCTAGTATCAAACTCCACTAGACATAATGTAGGAGTTTTGATACCAATGCAGGTAGTGCTAATGTCAACGATATTGCCCCTGGTGCCAAGATTGACAAATCCCGAACTCAGAGAAGCAGGAAATCAAAGAAACTACAGAAAGCAGGAATACAACAGCTGAGATTTCTAAGTGTCAATTTAGGTACTCGTAGTGTCGGCAATGGCATCGGCCTCGCTGTCACCGGACCCCACACAAATCTGGGTGATCTAACGACTAACTACTGCTAGGTTAAATTGGAACCGGCCACTTGTCGGTTCCGGATTTGGGCGGTTTTGGTGATCAACTGGTATTTTAAACTTTAAATAGAATACTACCTGAAATTTATATTAGATATATTAGAATGGTTTATTAGTCAGCTTTGACAATTAAATTTCATTTCGTTATATAACTTCAACATATGTTTTTAAGACTTCATTTTGTTGGAGTTCAAACAACTTTTGTGGAGTTCAAAGAAAAAAAATACCTGCCCACCAGAATTGAACTAGAAACCTCTTATAAAGAGGTCCTTTAATATTAGACGCACTAACTAGTACACCATTTACTACTCGGTTAACAAAAGAATGACCTATATTATATATAACTTAAATTTTCTTTTCATTTTCTTTTAAAAAAATGTACTGGACTCGAGCGAGTTACTCGTACTCGCCTGAGTAACTCGCGTCAGCCAGCTCCCGATTACTTTGGCTGAGTTGATTTTTTTAATACTGCTTTAATATTCTTTACATTATGGTAAAGATTAAAAATTATTTTGGTTATTAATACTCACTTTTATATTTTTCCATATTTTTTAGAAAATTTTAAAAATATCCCTAGGTACAAATTGATTAGTTAAAATCCATTTTTTTTGTGAATTTTCAACTTCATTTGGGTGTGCTTTGTTTTAATCATTCTTTATATGCTTTACATATTTTAGTAGTTTTTTTTTTATCTTTTTTATTTTTTTCAACACTTTTTTTACCACTCGGGACTTGCCCAGTTAGAGCAGTTGAATTGGCCGGTTTATCGGTTAGGCTGGTTAAACCGCATCTGGGCCATGTCTTGTTGAACGATTCGATTTGTGAACATTGATAACCATAGTGGGGGTAGTCGTAGTGCCAATGAGGCTGTTGGCAGCGTTTTCAGCAAAGAAACAAACATGCATTCTCAGATCTTAGGGTACGATTGTTGCTAGTCGCAAGTGCAAAGTAGGGAGAACTAGAGCCAAAAGAAAGGGGTGCAACTTAGGGAGAGAGCAGGTGCGGACGCCACTACTGACCATTCCAGATTCCGAAGGTTCAAAAAGCCCCTGACCAGTTTCCACCCTACCTCAGAAGTTTATCCATTTTAAGAGCTTGATAGACACCATGGTGTGCACCGAACTGTCTATAATAAAACATTTCGGCATAAGATACCGCCTGATTTTTAGGCTTAAACACGTTGAGAGGAGTTAGGTAGAGGATGCATCCCGTCAAATTATGATTTGGGCAAGAGACTAGTCATAAGGCTGCTCACATAGATCGGCAGCAATGCTGGCTTCTAATACTACTAAAATTGGAAATTCGTGAGAAAATCCCAAAAAATGGGATCTTCAAGAAGAGGGGAAGGGATTTGGAGAAGGTTTTTCTCAAAAAAGAATCAAATAAAATAAATGAGAAGGAGGAGGGAAGCGTACCTGAAGCTGCCCTCCCAAGCCCGATACCTAAAGCCGGTATCAATTCAATATCAGTGATGGTGCACCAACTTTCTTCGAGCTTTCTGGGTCCATCAAACGAGGCAAATATAAGTCAATGAGGTTAGGGAGGTCCAAGAATGTCAGGGTTATGCGTTTGGATGTGCTAGGTTGAAGTCTAAGCCTACAGAGTCTAAAGGGTTTTGGGTTAGTGTGTGGTTTAGCAAGGTTCCATTTTAGAGCGACATAGTCTAGGTGTGATTAAAAGTTCTATTTTTGAAAATGAGGGGGTTGGATTCCTATTTATAGACATTTGGCCCTCTTAATTACTGTCCAAAATTTGGGATTGAATTTGGGCCATCTGATACAAAAGCTAATGTCGGGCTGGCCAAAGCTAGTATGGGTGTCATTTTGCTTTGCCTTCTTTATAATATTGGAAAAAGTTTATGTAGGGCCCAAGCTCTAAACAATCAAATTAGAGCCCACCTCAAATATGTCAATTGAAGAGGTTGTTTTGATGCATTTTTAGACCATCGTCAATTTTCAAGTTTTTCAAGTTTTCATAGATCTGCTCGATCTAAACTATTTTTGAAGCTTTCAATTTTATAATTAAAGATGAAAATATATTTTAAGGCTATCACACAGATTTCCAGTATCAAAAACCACATTTCTCAACACTATTTGAAGGTGCACGTTACTTTGATTGTTTACAGTGTCGGCTCTATACAAACCGCACCCTATAATATTTGACAATGCAGAAGTTGATAGTGGCGTTTGTCTATTATGATTACAGGTTGCATAAGATGAAACCCCTTGAATAATGGTTGATGTGATTTTTGGAGGTAGCGTGTCAGATGGGAGACGATACTACCAGCCGCATTGACACCACTACAAGTGTCTTCTGATTCAAATTTGGCCAAAACATTGTTGTTTATGATGTCAACGTTGCTACCAACATCATAAATGCAATGATGGTTACTTTTTGCGGCAATCTGACCATCCTGAGGTTTGACACTGGCGGTGATTTTGGCCAATCAGAGATAGTCGCTGCTGATGCCCTCGTCTGACGATGGGGACACCCATGGCAACATAATGATGGTTATTTTTCACTACAATTTGAGCATTCCAATGCTAGGAGATTGGCAGTAGTTTGAACCAATAAAAAACCGATGTTACTGTTGCCAACCTCTAACAATGGTATAACCATCGCGAGTGTAATGATGATTGTTTTTTTAGCATTGTAATGTCAGCCGATTGGTGACAATTTGAGCCAATTAGGGACCGATGCTACTACGTCAATACTACTACGCAGAGTGTTGGAGTCAATGATGACATTCCACTTCCACATTTCTAAGTGTCAATTTGGTGACTCGAGCCACCTCCCTCTAGACCTCATTGGCCCTATCGTTATCGTTAGAGTCACCTGAGTTGTGCTAACACTCTAATCGAGGCCACCCCTGTCGTTGGCACCACTGATGGGGTTGTTGAGTCCAGATTGTTTTCCCTTTGGTTTCGGGTGGTGTCTTCTATTGTATTGGGTCCATTCCAGCTGTCAGGGGTCTTTCTTGGGGTTCCAACTTCAGGGTCGAGCCTTTATGATGGACGATACAGGGCGATCTGGGTGTTAGGGTACAGGTTTTTAGATTCTAGGTGATTTTGGGGTTCATGGTGGCCGTTCTGGTGCTCTTCGGTTTTCTATAGTTCCTTCAATTGGGATCAGGGTGTCTCAACTTGCAAGCTAGAGTAGGAAAAGGTTTAAGTCGGGAGTTGAATGTATCCTAGGGACAAATATGCTGCCGTGACACTTAAAGGAGTGAAAATACTATCTCGAATTAATTGACATAGAGCTTGCGAGAGACACCTCATTGGGTCCTCTGTTTTTCTGAGTTTTACAACTTTAACTTTTAATTTTCACTTTATCCTCAGATTTTTCCTACAATTTTTGCATCAACAGACCAATTTGAATTTCAGACCCTAACCTACCCATAGACTGATGTCCAAATTACTCAAAGCCAATGCAGAAAAAACTAGCACTCCATAAAAATCCCCCAAACAAACCTCCCCCCTTCCCCTTAAAGAGAGTGAGAGTGAGTGAATGAGAGAGAGTTTTGATTGTGTTTCAAGATAAGAGGAGAGTCTTCATATGCCAATATAGCTCTGATGTTCTTTAAGACAGTCCAAGCAACAGGACCCAGTTTGGAGTTTCTCCATATATCATAATATATTATTACAGGGCCATAAACCAGAAAAGGCATTATAGTAGAGGCACCCATACAATAACAATGAAAAATAAATTACAAATAAATAATAAATAAATAAATTGAAACCCACAAATAATTTACAAATTTAGCCTCTCTCCCTGTTGTGAATGATAACGCGCTATAGCCTGCCTTATATCATTAAAACCCAAAGCAACCTCCAAGAACTTCACAAGCTTACTGAGCTCTGTATCCCACAAATCATTGACAAATTGCCTAACCTGAATTGCATTCTCTTTTTGAAGAGAGAAACAGTCCGGGTTATCATCAATTATGACCATTCTTCCGATATCTCGACCGGTTTTTGACAAGTCCTTAATAAATTTACCATTAACCTCTTTACAAGAATCCCTGTACAGCCTATGGCTAATAACTCCTCTTTTATCAATCTTATCAATCACCATTTCAGCATATACCTTTAACCCAGCTGTAAAAATAACAACCTCGAATTTACCCTCAATAAACTCGAAAAACTCATCAATTCCGGGCCTTTTCTTGACGTAAAAAGTTGATATATGACCATCGATCGATGGGTTCACAACGAAATCATAAATGTCAGGAGGTGGGCTCAATGACGAATGTACCAATGTCTCATCAAGGTCTAGGAAAATGGTAGCCTTGAAGGGAAAATTTGGGGGAGGGAGTAGAGCATTTTGTGAACTTACAGGAATTTCTTTGATGGGTTCAGGATCAAAATGGATCTTGTGGGGGTGAAAACCTCTCCCTCGGTGATTGAAATCGGAAGGCCTCAGGACACCAGAGAGGAGTTTGAGGACACAGCGCTTGCATGAACCGAGAGATTTCCTCAAAGAGGAGATGAGGAGAATAGAAGATGGAGACGGAGGCTTCTTTGGAGTTTTCCGACAACCAGAATTGAGTGTCACCGTTCGGATTTTTGCCGATTTGGGTGTCGGCTGCTTCCTGGCCTTGGAGACCATACTGGACTTCCTATAGAGAGAAGGGGGCGTAGAGAGAGAGAGGGAGAGAGATTTATTTAGGGGAGAGGGGGTTGTTTTTGTGTGTGAGGGTAACGGTCGGATTTTCTTGTTTTCCAGGAAGGGGGGCTCGTTCCAACGGTCTTATTTTTAAAGAGAACGGGGGGTTGCGCTTTCTGTTTGATGGTCTTAAAACAGATGCGGACAGGTTTTCTCGATTTTATCGGCACCAAACGTTATGTTTTGTCTGAGCTATGGACTTTAATTAGAATCCCTTCCGTTCTGTTTTTCATCTAAATCCCATAACGACATGCCTTCCCTCTCTCTCTTTCTAACTCTCTCTCTAACCCAAAGAAGACATTTAAACAATCCTGATGTGGCAATGGACTTAGACCCGACCCGGGCTTGTTGGGTATACCCGAATGGGTATGGATAGGGGTCCAACATATGGACCCAGTGAGTTGGGTTCGGGTCCAAAACCTGAACCCAAACATTATTCAATATGGGTTCGGGTTCGATTGGACCCGACCACCGTACCTGTACTCGGAAACTAATGGAAATAAAATACTTCAAGCCTTATTTGTTTGAGTGTATTAAATATTGTATACAATAAGAAAACAACTTGAAATCTAATGGCATGTTGTGAACTTATTGCCAATAATTTGGATATATGATGGTGAAAAAAGAAGCTCTTAGTGAGGGTGGCAATAGACAGATAGATCGGGAACCACAAGAACAGGTATACATACAACTTTTGGACTCAACAGGTCGGATCTGAATCCAAAACCTAGACCCAAATGCATTCGGGTATGGGTCTGGGTCTAGTCGGACCCGACCCATACCTCACTCATTGCCACCCCTAACAACCATGGGTCCAAATGTAGGAAAATTATGATGAAATGGTCGGTTCACTTTACAAATTGGACGAGGTGACAAATCAAGCAATTTATCAACTAAATGAATATCCCTCATGTCCATTATCAACTGTTTTTTTAGTAATTTAACTTATAATATGCCTTTTCTCTTGGGTTTCAAATCTAGAACAATTAAGGTTATTTTAGTAATTTAAGTTATAATATAAGTGGGGCAAAATTACAAAAGGTCCCCCACTTATTTCAGGTTCTAAAATTCAGAAATTGTGATTCTTTTATAAAAGTTTACTGCTCTAGGCGTGGAAGCCAGAAGAACCGGGGTGGTGTTGGTTGATGGGGGTGAAAATAGGGGTAGAAAAAGAAATAAAATAATTTATGTTTTCAGGCGCTTTCTCGATAAAATATTTGCCCTTTCTGTACACTAGAAACCGTGTGTATAATTTGCGCAAACTTGTCATCGGTATACAAGAAAAATAAGGCATTGAAATCAAGAGGAGAAAAATGAGTTCAGAGAATTATAGTTATGAGAAAGAAACGAGTACGTAAGAGAGTTCGAATTTAGAGATAGATGGAGAAGAACAAGTAGAGAGAGAAAGGGATGATAAATAAACAAGCAGGAAAGTGTTAAAAAAGGGTTATTTGAACTGGTGTTCGCAAACTTGGCCGATCAAATCCGAACTAGGCACTAGCCTATATGATTTTGGCCGGTTTTGGTGGTCTGGCGAAGTATTTTAAAAATAATTAAAAACATTTTGCATAATATCTCCCAAAATAAGAGATTTGTTTGTAATATGTTTTTGAATGTTTTTTTTTATCATTTTGAAAAGGTTGTAAAGTTTTTTTGCCATGAATATTTATTTTATATTTTTCCATCTTTTTAAAAAAATTCAAAAATACCCTTAAGGACAAATTGATTTTTTAAAATCAAATTTTCACTAATTTTCAACTTCATTTGGGATGTGCTTTGTTTAATCCAGTGTTTAAAATATCGGTTGATTTTTTAAAAGTGGGCCGACTAACTCGGGATCGGTCATTGGCCGATCCCTATTTGGCCCATTTCCAACTGTCATGCATGTAAGAATTTTTTCAACGCACTAATCGGTTGACTAGTGCCACTAATTGGCGATTTGGTCTAAAAATCGGCCGATAAGTGCAATGTCATAGTGCATAGTTAGTAAAGCGGTCCTTATAACTTTTTTATATATTTCTCTTCTTTTTTTTTCCTATTCTTCTATAGACACGGTTTCTATACTGTCAACCCGCATATTGTAGAAATGCGAGCTTGGCAATAAATATATTTTTTAAATATATTTTTTTCCTAATTTTTTATGGAGATCATGAATATGAAAAAAAATGCTTTGAAAAATTAGAAATAATAATTATATTAAAAAAACATTTAAACTGTTAGCTACACTTGTTTCTAGAAAGACTACCTATTTGCATCCATCTTTAAGATGGATGCTTTATACCTCTGGAGCACATGTTGTAGAAATGCAGTCAAGCCCTCATGAAATAATTTTCCTTCTTCTACTTCTCTACTTAAAACTTTATAGGTTATTACAAATTTTTATTTGCTAGCTGCAACGTTTGTTGCTTTGGGCGAGTAGACTTAGACGCACCAGAATTGGTTGAAATATTATAATTTTTTTAATATTATATTATATTATATATTATATATTATATATTATATATCTATATTTATTTTATTAATGTAATTTATATTATATAGTATATATTGATTAAATATTATATAATATATATATATTTATTATATATTGATCATTAAAAAAGTATTGCTTTAAGCGCCTACTCATTTTCTCTGAAACCCAATTGTGCTTATAATATTTATTTTTTTTATTTTTTATGTGATAATATAAACAAACAATACATGTAAATTTTAAACATTGTTTACAATTTTTTTGAGATTTTTTGAGGTTTTTGGGATTTTTTTTACCAAAATTGCATTTTTTAAAAAAAAATCAGGGCACTAATCGCCGATCAAGTCGGAAACGGTCGGACTAATCGGATCAGGCTAGGACCTACTAGTTGGCTCGATCCGTTGTTTTGAACACTGATTTAATCATGTTTTAAATATACTTTTCATATTTATTTAGATATTTTTGTATTTTTTTTTTTCTTTTTGACACTTTTTGGACTGACTGAAACCTAACCGACCGGTTTTCGAGGCTGGTTTGATTTTTCGAACACTGGTTTGAACCCTTTGTAAGAGTAAATAGACTCTTAGCAGTGATTGTTCATGTGGACGGTCACTACTATTCACTATGTGGACAGTCACAACTATTCACTTGGGCATGTGACTATTCAGTTTCCAAGTGAATAAAACAGTTATCAACGGTTGAAGCTGCCCCAATAATCATTATGCAAACACCTCAATTGACCAATGGCTAATAGCAATTGGATCAACGCACGCACGTACTATTCAGTTTTCAACAATCACAATCCAACGGTTATCAACTGTCCAATGATCATTATGCACACACCTCCATTGACCAATGGCTAATAGCAATTGGATCAATGCATACACGTGCATGGCCATATTACGCATCGTTCGATCTAGGTCGTGTCTCATAAAAATGAGGCGAGCCTCAAGCCGCACCCGCACACATGTTTAGGTAAGGGCTGTTGATCGATCTAGGTCGTGTGTCATAAAAATGAGGTGAGCCTCGAGCCGTACCCGTACATATGTTCAGGTAAGGACTACCGATACCAACTTGCAAAGTGCATCATCAAGCACCCTCATGCCCTCACACACATATGCGTGTATATCGCACACTTCACGTGCTCTACACATGTAAACCACTCTCACCTTTATTATATAAATACAAGGCATAAGAGTGCTCACATATATATACCAACCAATCCTCGCTTTCTATTTTAATGGGACTAAATCCTACACTTTTCTCTCTCACAAATAATAAAAACTCAAGAAAACCACATGAAATAATACATTATTTTGAAATACTAATTAGAATTTGTCAAAACAAAAAAAATAACATTTCTTCCAATATTACATAATATTATAAAAAAATATCGAAAATCATATATTATTTGCTTACAATGAAGGTATCTTTTGATTTGAACCTTCACTTATAGTATACACTATAAAGTCCATAAAGTTCTCTAGTAGCATATTTCTTTGAACCCTATTTTTTATTCAATAGACCAATGGTATAACTTACAAATAATTTCCAACCCTAGTGTCTTTAACCACTAGCATATTTTGAGCATTATCTTATATCTCGATTTTATAAGTACTTTAGAAATGAGTCACATCTCATAAAAAGCGGTCAAACTTCAAAAATTGTATTTAAAATATTACGGCCTAAAGTCATAGACAACATTTAAAGTTAAACATACAAGTCATCCCGAGACTTATCCAAAGTCTGGATTTCCTTAGAATGGGTGCTTAGAGTATTTTTATGTCTAGTGACCGAACTAATCATGCATACACTTTATTACTATGTCGAACCTAGAACTTTTGAATTTACAACAAGACTGGGTTGGATTCCCACTGTAGATTATTATTTTACAGCCTCTAGCGGGACTTTAATCCCATTCTCATTGACAACTTATCAATGTAATCCTTTGTAAAAGCCTTTTGTAAAAGGATTAGTCAAATTTTTTTTTAGCCTCACATATTATATACTAATCACTCCATCTCTTATTAATATTCTAATGGAATTATACCTACGTGCAATATGTATAGATATACCATTATAACAGTCATTGCAAGCTTTCGTAATGGTAGCATGATTATTACAGTATATTGTGATTGAAGGTATCGGTTTTCGCCATATGGCCATTGTCATGTAATAAGTTCTTTAGCAATTATGCTTCTTTACCAATATAATCTAAATTAATAATTTCAAACTCCATAATTGAGTGTGAAATGCACATTTATTTTGATGACCCCCATGATATCGCACAATGTAAAAATTCATCCAGATATTGGTAGAGAGTGCATGATTTCCATATTCCAATTTACATCAGTATTTCTTTCTAAAACCTCAGGATAACCTATATAATATATGTCATAATTGATAGCACCTTTCAAATATTTTAATACTCGAGAGATTGCTTGTCAATGCTGTCTATCTTTCTTTTTGTGGAAAGAGTACTTAACTTTAATTGAAAGGTATAGAATCACAATACATTGGTTAAA